TTTCAGGCGTACAGTTCTGTAATGCACCATCTGTGTATTGCATTGTATATTCACCACCCAATGTCAAAAGTCCTTCTATCAGCAAGTATTATTTGATCTCCCTTACCCTCTTCTACCTCTCTCCAACCCTCCTTACCCTCTGGTAACCACAGACTGTTGTCTGTGTCTTTGAGTTTCTGCTTGTTTGTTTGTTGTGTTCATTTGTAGCTTTCAGTTTTATATCACACATATGTATGAAATGATATGGTTCTCGACGTGGCATCATACATAGTTATTACAATGTTATTGACCATATTCCCCATGCTGTACTACATCACATGCCTATTTTGTAAGTGCCAATTTGTACTTATTGTTTCCTTCTCCTTTATAACGTACTCCCTCAACCCCCCCACCCTCAATCTGGCAACCATCAGTTTGTTCTTTCTGAGTCCGTTTCTATGTTGTTTTTTCACTTATTTTGCTTTTTAGAGTTCATGTATAAGTGAAATAATATGGTATTTGCCTTTTTCTGTACGACTTATTTCACTTAGCATAGTACCCTCTAGGTCCATCCATAACAAATGGATTGATTTTGTTCTTTTTTATGGCCCAGTGATATTCCATTATTCATATTTATCACCTCTCTTTATCCTTTCGTTTATTGGTGGGCACTTAGGTTGCTTCCATATCTTGACTGCTGTAGATAATACAATGTGAATATAGGGACGGATATATCTTTTCAAATTAGTGTTTTGGATTTCTTCATATCAATACCCAGAAGTGGAACTGCTGGGTCATACTTGTAACTCAATTTAATTTTTTGAGAAACCTCCATAGTGTTTCCCATAGTGGCTGCACCAATTTACAATCCCACCAACAGAGCACAAAGCTTCCCTGTTCTCCACATCCTCACCAACACTTGTTTGTTGATTTATTGATGACGGCCATTCTGTAAGGTGATATCTCATAGTGGTTTTAATTTTGCATTTCTCTGATGATTAGTGGCGTGTCTTTTTAGCAGAGCATCTTTTTTATATGTCCATTGGCCATTTGTATGGCCTCTTAGAGATATGTCTCTTCAGGTCTTCTGCTTATTTTTAATAGGATTCTTTGCTTTTCTGGTGTTAAGTTGTATGAGTCATTTATATATTTTGAATAGTAACCTCTTATTGATGTATCATTGATGAATATCTTCGCCCTTTCAGTAGATCATCTTTTTGTTGTGCCAATGGTTTCCTTTGCTGTGAAAAACTTTTTAGTTTGATGTAGTCCTTTTTGTTTATATTTTTTATTCCCCCCCCCCTTGTTCAAGGAGATATATCCAAAAGAAATATTACTAAGAGCAATGTCAAAGAGTTTGCTGCCTATGTTTTCTTCTCAAAGTTTTATAGTTTCGGGTCTGGAAGCCACTTTTTGATAGTAAGAACTTGGCCTCTCTTTGATTTGACTGTCAGGAAGCTCAAGAGCCAAATTTGAAATTCATGTTTAACATCCATCCTGACCGGCATACTTACCTTTCTTTTTAAGTATATTTTTCCTAGGACACATATCCTGTATCTACCATTATTGTATATGTTCAGGTAGTAAGATACCTCAAGTCCTTGGTGAAATAAGTCATGGTATAAATTGTCTGTAGATCAAGTGTTTGAAATTCAGAACTCTACAAACACTTTTGATAAATAACAAGTAGCTATTTGTTAGTAAAATGCTTCTAAATTTTATGTTTATTTTATTTCTAATTTTTATTCCAATTTTTATGTGTATTTTAAAATTGTGTATTATAACTATATTATTCAGAACTAGGGAACATAGGAAATCATTGTTTGGAATTGCATCCCAAAGTCTAATTCTAAAAGCAAGTTTGTGCCTTCAATGGCTATATAATATGTATATTTGGAATCTGATTTTAAAAGTGACCAAAAACTTACTCGTGCAAAGCCATAAATATAGTTCCTTAAACCATCATTTAGAGACATATTCTAGTTTCAAATTCATAAGTTGCCTTTGCTGAGTTTACAGTTTATGTTTTTAGGCTTTAAGTTAGGAAGTGAAATCGTCTGAAATCCGAACTCTATTCTGATTCACATATCTCCTCTTGAAATATAATAGATAATAGTGGTGCATATGATGCATTTCTGGAGGCTTTGAATTTGGAGTTTTCCTTAATTTTTAGATTTGTCCTTGATCAACTAATTTTTCATTTCTGTAATCAGACAATAATACCTGTCTTCATACAGAAAGTTGGACCAATGTTCTCTTGAGATTCTTTTCATCTCCAGGTTTTAATATGCTGTTGTAGGGCTATATTGCAGTTGTAGACTTATATTATTAATGAAAATAAGAGTATCAGAATTTGATTTAATCTCTAGTTCAAGGTTCACATTTTATCTTGTTATGTGAACAAAAGAAATCACTTAATATTTCTGTGCTTAGGTTCCCATGTCCATAAAATAGTTAATAATACTTGTTTTTTGCAACACTAACTAGTTAATAAATAAACATGTAGCCTCCTTTTTATAAAAGTTTGTATTCTATAAAATTCATTTGTAAGCTGATTGCTGGGAGCTTACTCAGATTTCCAGGCAGGTAAATGCTAAAGAATGGCTAAGTTGCTCAGTTAGCTTCTAGATGTCTATTTGACACAGAGCATAAGTGGGAAGAGTGCATCTGCATAAAAATAGTAGAAGATGGTTTTCAATACTGGTAATAAAGTCATAAAAATTAAATGAATTTTGGTTGCCTTGTACCATACTAAGATTTTATAAACACTGATGGAAAATTAAAAAAAAAAAGATTGGAGTTTACCCAAGTCTCTCTTGTTTGCAGGGTTTAGGGCTTCAACATATAAATTTAAGGGGAACACAATTCAGTTCCTAGCAAAGTTTAATAAGAAGATAATAGTATTCAATACCTTGTGTACCCCCCTTCTTGGTTATCTTTCCAAAAATAATCTATGCATATACATTAAAAAACGCACACGTATGTACACACCATATTATGCACATTGCTCTGAGGCTTTTAGAAAAACTTTTCATTGTGGTGTAATTCAGATTTACATGGTACAGAATTTCCAAAAATCCCTCATCATTAGAGGCTTCCATCACCATGGTGCATTTGTCACAGCTAAGAAAGTGACATTGGTACATTATGAAGTAAACCCCCTTTTTTCTCAAACTTAGTATATCTTGTAGGTCTTCCTGGGTCTGTATTTAGGAAACCTTTCACTTTTATTGAGGACTCCATGGTTTCCCATCTGGAAGTATATTATACTATGAAACACTTAATTGATCCCCCATTGGTGGAAAAATGTGGTGTTTTCAGTTTTCCCTAAAACAAATAGTACTGCAATGAATTACTTGTGCAAACATTCCCCATGTATGTATGTGTGACTGGAAAAAAATTTCCTAAGGAAGGGTGTCCTGGATCAAAGGGTATGTTTGTAGTTTCTCCAGATAATGCCAAATCCTGCTTCATGAAGCTGTTCTGTTGATACTCTCCCCTGCAGTGCACCTGTCCCCCTGCTGAGATTTTGTCCTTGCTGACATGCAAAGCAAATTCACTATCGTTTTAATTCGCATTATCATTTTGTGAATAGGTTGAGTCTCATTATGTTTAAGGAAAATTTATATTTCTTTGTGGACATCTTCTTAATCATTTGAAGCAACTCTTTTCACATTAAGAAAATCAGCTGTGTGATAGTTGAAAATTTTTATTTGTGGCCTAATGATGGCTTCTTTTTTTTTAAAGATTTTATTGGAGAACTGGGTGAGGAAACAGCATTGGAGAATCAGGGAAGGGGAACAGACAAGTTACTGTACTTTTGTTCTTCAATCTAGTTGTGGAGAACGCATCTTCACTGGCCTATGTTGGTATTGTGATCACTGCGCTCTTCCAAGCTGAGGCATTCGGTCGTCGTCCATTGGACGGTGGCTCACGGTGGCTCATGGCAGCTCACAGCAGCTCACACTGGCTGCTTGCCGCTCATGCTGGCTGCTGGCCACTGATGGTGACTTACGGCAGCCCACTGCAACCCCATTGCAGCCTACGCCATTGTCAGTGACTCATGGCAGCCAAGCTCTTGGTCAAGCTGTTATTCAGGATCTTAGAGCGTGCAGCGTCACTGACCCATGTGGTATCCAAACTGGCAGCACTGGTGCTCAGAACTCGTGCTTTTTAAGTTAACTCTTAACCAAGTGAGTCAATTGGCCGGCACCTTTGCCCAGTTTTTAATTGGGTGATTGGCTTTGTGTTGTTTAGTTGTAAGAATTCTTTATATATGCTGGGTACTAATTCTTATCAGATCTCCGATTAGGAAATATATCCTTCATTAAATGAGTTGGCTTTTTACTGTCTGCATAGTGTCAATTGAAAACAGGACATTTTGTTTGATGAGGTCCAACTTGTGCATTTTTTTCTGAGTCCAACTGCTGAAAGGTCAGAGCATGGGGAGGGGTGAAGGCATGGATGGTCCCACAACCAGTGCTGCAGAAAGGCCCGGAGGACAACAGCCAGAATCCTACTGGGAGAAGAAGATACACAGAGCTGCAGTTGACCCGGTGAATCTGTCCTTGTCTCTAATTCCTACAGGGAAATCAGGGCCCAGGGCAGAGGTGATGCTGGTGGCCATCGGGGAAGTGGCTGTCAAGACCCTGCTCCTCCTTTTCTGCCTCATCATCCTCATGTGAGTTCTGCCCAGGGAGAGGGGAGGCATGGGGAGGGCAGGGGGCAAGTGACTGAGTCCCAGAATCAAGGCTTAAGTGAGCCAAACAAATTGCAGCAGGAATGACAGGAGGTGAAGGGGAGGTGGGTGAGGATTCCACGCGGGCAGTCATGTGTGTGCCCCAGTCGGCGAATGTCCAGGATGGGGGCACCAGCTGTGCTCAAGGAGGTCTGTGTGGCTAGACCCGCCCTTGCCCATCTCTGTCTCCTCCCCAGGTCCTGAACAGGGAACAGACAGCTGGGACTGCTGCCCACTGCACCCTGATCCAACCAGACTGAAAGGCCCTGGTCTCTTTTTTTAGAGTGAAGTATCACAGGAGGCACAGGACCACATCTTCAGGGGGCACAAAGGATGCAAACTCCCTCCCGGATTAGTGTCTCAGGTGAGTGATGCAGGTGTCTCAACACCAAATATTCCACAGACACCTCTTCCAGCATGATCCCTGAGATTTCTCTGCTCAAAATGGCATAAGCAGAGCTGTCCCTTTCCTTCCTCCCCATACCTAATCCTCTTCTGAGTTCTCTGTCATACGAATGACACAGTGGCTCCCTCCTCTAAAGGTGTAGTTCTCCACTTTGCCCTCCCTCCTTCTCTCTGATCCAATAAATCACTAAGACTACTTCATATGCCTCCTAGTCATAGCTCACCATAATGTCTGTGTCTTCCCCATCCTCACTCTGGTAGTTCCTGCCACTTCATCTTTTCCTTGTGTCTGTGAACCCACCAATTTCCTGCCTCCATCTCACTCCTCAGCACAGGCTTTCACACAATGTTTCCAGGGACTGTATTGTTCGCATCCTGAAAAGTATGACAGCGATGTTTCCTGTCTGTGACCAGAGACTCAGGTGCAAACACCACCGGCTGGATTGGAAGGTCTGCTGTGGTCTGTCCCCTGCTGGACTCCCCACCAGATTCCACCACTCCCTGCATCCCACACCAGCTCCACACCCAGCTGTGCTGTTTGTGACTTTAGACTCATATGTGCAGTTCCTTCTCCTGAAATGCCTTTCCCTCCCCATTTCTACATCCCCAAGTGCTAATCACGCTTCAGGCTCTGTTAAAAGTCACCCCTATTGAGTGTGTGTGTGTGTGTGTGTGTATAATTCTTTATTGTTTTAGCAAAGGAAAATCAAGTCATCTATTTACATATAGACTTCTTCAGCAAGTCAAGTGAACACTTACTAAGTGCCAGCATTGTTGTAGGTGACAGAAATGCAAGAAGGCACGTGGTATAAAAATTTGTCATTGAGAAGCTGTCATTCTGGAAACAAGAAGATAGAAACACAAAGAAATGAATAAAAGTATTCTGGCATGTTGGATGGTGATATGTGTTTGTGGAGGAATCACCTAAGGAAAGAATCAGGTGACACATTGGGAACAACCTTCCACACCTGAGAGTGTGAAGAGTGATGTTTGAGCACAGGGTTGGAGACGGTGAGAAAGCAGGTTCTGTGTTGGCCTAATGGAGATCACTTAGGAAGATAGGAAAGCAGTGTCACAGCTCTGAGGCAGAAACAGCCAGGCATCTTGTGGGACAAGTGGCTCTGTGACAGCACAGGGAGGCATAGGAGGGGGCTGCTGGGAGGGTGTCCCCTCATGGAAAACCCATGTGAGGCCTTGCAGGAGATGCAGGAATCTGGGAGCCTCGAAGGAGAGCAGAGACATGACAGAGCGCCCCTTGTAGCAGCATCCCCATGGCTGCTCTGATCACAATAGCCCAGAATGTGACCACGGCTCAAAACAGAGAGGGCATGGAGGGCAGGAGGTGATGGCGGTTGAACCAGGGAGGTGGAGGGGAGGCCGAGGTTTTACTTTTGTATATTTTGAAGGTCAAGTTGACTGAATTTTCTATTGGATGTGGGGATTGAGGGGAAGAGAAGAACGGGGACGGTGCCCAGATGTTTCTGCCGAGCACCTGTAAGAGTGGGGACGTGTTTCATGGACGCAGACAGGAGGGTTTGGGGGGTGATGTCCTTTCTGAGCAGCCACTTGATGCCGACTGGGGCTTCCAGTGAGAGAGCTGGATATTAGGAGAGGGGTCCAGGCTGGAGACGTGAACACGCACAGTGTAGGTGATGACGCCTGATGAAGTCAGAAGAGGTCTGATGACACATGGAAGAGAGAAGGCACAGGCAACACGTTGTCTCTGGTGATCCTGACAACAGTTGTCTCATAGTTGGTGTGAAAGGTCTGAATATGTGACGGAGCTGACTCAGGAGATCCAGGAGGAGGGGGATGGGAAGGGTGGTTACAGAGGAGCCTTTGAGGAATTTGGCTGCAAAGAGGGACAGAGGAATGGGTCTGGTGAAGGAGGACTTGCTCTGGTGCTTGTCTGCATCCCCCAGCGGGGCTCACTGAATCCCCACCTGTACTGGTTTCCTGGGGCCACTGTATCAAATGAACACAGACTTGGTGTCTTGAAAAAAGGGAAATTTATTTCCTCAGTTCTGGTGGCCAGAAATCTGTGTAGGGAGGAAAAATATCTTCTCCCTCTGCCCTTCTACGTTCTCAACTGAGACCCTTGCAACAAAGAAAGATTTGATGCCATGTCTTGGGGTAATGAGTCCTGAACTCCATCACCGAAATCAGTTTACTGGCAGCAGTCAGGGTTGTTGTTTGGGATGTACTTGCTCCAGAATCCACATCTGACTTCCTCTAGGTGAAGTCGCTGCCGGATCTCCCTGGCTTGTGGCTGCATGACTGCTCTGTCTCTGTGGTCACATTGCCTCATCCTGCTCTGTGTGTAGTCACCGCTGCCTCTCTCTTAAAAGACACTTGTGTCTAGTATTAGTGACTAACCCTGATAGTCTAGGATGATCTCCACATCAAGATCCTTACCTTAATCCCATCTGTACACACCCCTTTTCCTTATCAGTGGACATTTGCAGGTACCAGGGACTAAGACCTGGATATCTTTGGGTGGCCATTATTTAGCCCACTGGACTGATCATGTGACCTTTTGCCCCCCTGAATGTCTCCATCTTGCCTCCAGATCTTGCTTACTCTGCTTTTTCATGTCCAGATAACTAGTGGGTCACCTCATGAGTGACTCATGATTTTAGGGAACAGTAGCTTGCTCTTCTGTAAAAGCCAATATTAAGAGAGCTACTAGAAAATATTAAATCTGAAAGAAAAAAATCTGTAAATATATACTTGATCAATGACTTGTATGCAAATACACAGGACTCTCAAACAAAACAGTATGTAACAAACAAGGAAATAAAATCAATTGTTTAAAAAAAAACCTCACTCAACAACAAAAAGCAAACAACTCTATTTAA